AAATTGATAGACCCCAAAGCTCAGAGCTGGATCTCCAACAAGTGTCCCGGCAGTATGCAGAAGCCTGGGACGAAGATGGCTCACCTCCACGGGCAGTAGTTGCCCAGAGGCAACAAGGCCCTTCCCTTTTCTTCATCCCGATAACTTTTGTTTTCTAACCTCTAGTCCAGCGGTTCTCGATCTTCCTAACGCCGCGACCCTTTCATACAGTTCCTCATGTGGTGGTGACCCCCCAACCATAACATTATTTTCGTTGCTACTTCATAACTGTCATTTACTACTGACATTTTACCGAATTGGGCGCCCCCTGTGAAAGGGTTGTTCAAACCCAAAAGGGGTCTCGACCCACAGGTTGAGAACTGCTGCTCCAGCCCAAACTGCCCACCTCTGTGGTTGCCATGAAGGCCGCTTCTCATTTGGTGGATGAAGTGGCTGTGTGTGAAACCACTGACCGTGAGTACCACAGAATAAGGGCTCTTTCGGTGTACTTTTTTGGTTTTGCTACCAGAGTAGAAGCCAAAGGTCTTATGTTCAAAGTTGGAACTAGGAAAATAGAGGTGCCCCCCCCCTTTTTTTCTCCTCCTCACTGTAACTGATGGCAAACCAGGGTCAGTGCCTTTGTAGTGTTACTATAACATACCACAAGTGAGTGAGGAAAACATTTCTCTTTTCAAGCTGTAGGACGCGAAAGGTCCTTATTTGGAGAGCCAGCTCTAGAGGAAAGTGCTCTGTATATCAGCTCTGGGGGAGGGAGTGTCCCAGTCTCTGGAAGTCTGTTCCAAGCCCCTTTCTGAGCTTCCACCCGCCTGGCCATCTCTCTTCTCCCTTCTCTGCTGCTTTGTGTTCTCACCTGATCTCCTTTTCCACCTCAGAGATTGACTCCAGACATAGCCTACCCAGACACGATCTCATCCACATAAAACTCCTTCCCAAAGGGAATGATAACCGCAGATGTAGGAGGTAGGACTTACACCACTTTCAATGGTGGGCACACAGTTCACAGCAGGTAGCAGCCTATAGGAGATGCCATTCTTCAGGTGTGTGGTGAGTTACTCCAGAGTCGTTTCCGGCTCATGGTGGCCCCATGATGATTTTAAGGCACAGGCCTGTCTTCTGAGCACACACACCCCCCCCCAACATGGCTCCCAGCTGCCAGCCTTTGGGATTACTCAACATTGACATCGGGTTTTCCTTGAAGCCGGCAGGGTGCCCATGGGCTCAGAGGTAGCTACCTGACCTTCCAGGGAGGGGTGGGGGGAGCGGAGCATCCACTGTAAATTCACCGCCATCCAACCACAGTTGTTGCCAGCTAAAATGTCTGCTTTTCGTCATTTTTCTAAAAGGGGCAGTAATATAAGTGGTGCTGCTTTGAAAAAAGTTTATTCTGATAAACTTGGGCCACATGAGAAACCGGATTTGAGGCATCGCTTGGCCACATCTGCACTTAAAATCCGAGATGAAAGTCTTGTGGCCGTGGACCTTTTGGAAGGCACTGCTGCCCTACGTCTCCACCGCCACGTTGCTTTGAACAAGAGGTACCATGGATTCTCGAGCGCGAGGGCTCGTCAACTAGTGGAGTTTTCCCACGTCCTCTGGAGTGCATATGATGTTTAATATGAAAACCTTTAGGACTTTTTATACTTGCTTCTCACCCACACCCGGCCCCTTTTTTGATTCGTCCTTCCACGAACACAAATGCATGCCCTTCTAACCTCGAGTCTCTGGAGTAATTGTAGAACACCTGATTTGTTTTTGTTTTTCTCATAACAGAGAGTAAAATACTTGTTAGCAATCTAAGCGTCAAACCTGCATAAGGTACTAAAATCGGTTTCGAAGGAGGGACATTTTAAGTGAATCATTATTACTACCCAAGTTCTTGTATTAGTGGCTCCTGTATAAAAGACTCGTCACTGCTGTCCTTGTATGAATACGCTTTTGGCAGTGCAATTAAGTATTGACTTTTCTAGAAACTGCCCCTTCCTATCCTTTTCACATCCATGTCATTCCCTCCCCCCCCTGCAAATATATATATATATATAGAGAGAGAGATGTTTTAATCTATGAGATTAAATATATCCTGGTAAAATATTTTTGTATATAGAAATAAATAACTAATATTGGAAAAATGTAGTGTTTCGTTTAGAAGGAGAGCGGGGTGGGGGGACGGGGGGGGGTGGGGTGGTGGTGGTGGGGGGAGGGGGGTTGGAGGTAATCAAGTACTGAGGATGTCAGCTCAGCTCTGGGCGTCATTTAAATGTCACAGTTTGTGTAAACCCCTGTAATGCTTCAGTTTTCCCAGCAAAATAAACACTCTCCATCCACCCGACTCTCCCCTCAGCGAGGAAGCCTCAGCTGTTTCCCAAGGACTGTCAAAGAGGGGATGCCCCAGACAGCAGCAAGGAGAGATTTCTGACAAGGGCAGATCAGAATACAGAATTCTGGAAAGAAGAAAGGGCCCGTTTCCAAAGCATGGCATATGGGACCATTCCAGCAAAGACAGAGCTCATGGGGAGCCTGTGAGTTCTACACTCAGCTCCCCAAAGCTAGTTTCTAGAACTCCACACCTCAAGCTTCAGTTGTATCTTCACAAAATTGGTTTTATGTTATTACCCTTCTCTATTAAAATGCTTGTCTTGATTTTCTATCGTTTAAGCTTTTCCCTGGAGGGAAATCCCCACTCTTCAGTCGCCAGACTTCAGGCCTGCTGCTTGTGACTGAAGCTCCCCTTTCTGTGCTTGGGGGGCGGGGAGGAGGTTCTCAGCTCCTAGAGGCTGCCCATGGTCCTGAGCTTGTGGTGGCCTTGTGTTGACAGTGTTTGGGGGCACGAAAGAGACCCCCCAATTGCCAATTTAAGGAGACTATTAAGCCTTGAAAGGGATTGAGACAAAACAAGGACACAGACACGTCATCGGATGAGGGAGGCCATTGGCATGGTCAAGATGGCATCCCAGGATTTACAGAAAGGAAGGCAGTTAAATGAGGCGCGAAACAAAGGGAACTGTCACAAATCCACGATTGTGGCCTTAGATGAATACATCAAAGCTACAGGTGGGACCGCAGAAGCAGGAACAGGAGCACGATTGGGACACGCATTTAGATAGATCAATCCAGAGCCTTCTGACCTAGCCAACTAATGCATGGCAGGGCAGGACTCCTGACCAGGCAGAGGAGCCCGGGTGGCACAGTGGCTGAGAGTTGGGCTGCTAACTGCAAAGACTGAAACCACCAGCCACTCCTCGGGAGAAAGACAGGGACTTTCTACTCCCATAAAGAGTTGACAGTCTCGGAAACCCACTGAATCTTATTGGGTCTTTGGAGATTTTTTGTCGACTGTGACCTGTACTTTCATCAATGATGCCACCAGGCAAGCACCTGAGAGAGAATGTCCCTCCCGGGGCTAGCTGGGGAATGGTGGAGGTCATTCACTTTCCAACACACTTTGCCTGAGGCCAGGATGACCTACCTCCTTGATTACCGATCAGAAGCAATTCCATAGAGGTTTACTCCATCTGGGGACCCTACAAGTGGATGGTGGGTGTTCACTGTCATCCATAGCCTTCCGCCAAAGGGGCGCTCAGCATTTAAATGCCAGTGTCTCCGCTCCCCGAATCCTCTGGCCAAATCTCTTGCACTGACTTTTACCGACCTTCATTTCAGAGAAAATCTCCACATTTCCAGGCCCGTAACCTTGAAAACCTGCACAGTCTGTCTGCCATGTAAGGGGACGTGTCCAGAGATTCGACACTGAGGGGCCACACATGCTATAATGCCCCTAGTCTTCCCTGCCTTCCACTTGCAGGCGAGGAGTGCTTGGCTTTGTGGACACAACATTAAGGTGACCTGTGCGGTGTAAAGGATCATGACTTTGGTTTGGGGTTTCTTTTTAAGGATGTAGCTGAAATATGGTCTAGTTTGAAGAAACCTGCGGAGTCCCAGCCTCACCCCACGGCAAGTGTGCCCAGCATCTCATGGGCACCACATTCCTGCAGGCACTTGCTAGGCAGCCTGGCAGCCGCCCAGACTGGAGACATGCGCTAGAATCTGAGGTGCAGGCAGGAGAGTGGATGATGTGGAGGTACAGCAGTGCTTGCCAGGTAACCGCTTCTCATTCAATAATGGCTCCCCTGCCCCACACTGCCTCCTTGCTAAAAAGGTGAAGCCGATGTCAGCTCAGGTCCTAGCTGCTTTCTGCCAAGGGAAAGCAGAAGTGGCTTCAGCTCCCTGAAGAGTATTCACATATCCTGCCATTGGAGCCCTGGTGGCCAAGTGGTTACACGTTGGGCTGCTAACTGCAAGTTCGAAACCACCAGCCACTCCTCCGGAGAGAGATGGGGCTGTCTACTCCCATAAAGAGTTACAGCAATGGTTCTCAACCTTCCCAATGCCGTGACCCTTTCATACAGTTCATGTTGTGGTGACC